CCTTTACTACAAAATCTATATTTAACCAACTGATTACTGAACCTAATTAATAATAAAATAGATTTTGGTATTATTATATTATGTATTATGTATTTAAATTTGTTATGCACATTGGCAATATGATGTTATAATATATAATAATATTATATATTATATTACACACATATATATATATATATATATAATATTATAATATTATATTATAAATAAAATTTTATATTAAATAAAAAATATATATTTACTAGTAGGCAATTATTAAAAAATTATATTTTTATTTTATAAAATAGTGCGAATGTGTGTAATTTAAATAAATATTAAGCACAAATTAAAAGGAATTATACAGCAGTAGCCAGTAATACTTTTGAAATGATTTTTTATAAGCAGAGTGATTTTTCAATTATTTGGTTATTTTTATTATTATTTTTTTGTATATGTTTATTGTTGTGAATTAAAATATATATAGTGTGTTCACCAATTTAGGGAACACTGAATTTCTCGGCCGGATTATATTCAGTGTTAGGACTTGTTTAGATAAATTTATCTAGATAAAAATTTCATTATCTATTATTTTATCTATATTAAAATTTACTGGTCATCTATTTTTTTGTCTAGTTTTTCAAACTTCAGTTATCCATATCAATTTATCTAAATAATTTTTTATGCATATGTATTTTTTTTCTTTACATTTTTGTTCAAAATCAAAAATCATACCAATACAATGTAACAGAAGGTATATAGTACAATAATTTTAAGCAGTCTTAAAATCTTGAAAGTCAGTTATTTGTCGTTGGCTATTGTGATATTTCCGTTTAATAATTTGATGTTCATGCAGGTTATTGCTAGTTAGTTATTTCTGATAGACCGTGGCGACAGAAAAACATTAAGGTGCGTTTACATTATAGTCGAATGCAAACGAACGCGAGCGAATGCTACCGAATACATTCGTACGCGAATTCGTTGATGATTCGGCCGTTTACTGTGTTCAGTACTATTCGCGGTTGTTCGGGCTTGTTCATAAGCATTCGCTTTGAAAACAAAATATGGTTTAAAATATTCAGTTGTGGGCACACTACTATCCAGTAAACACGTGTAAATTCTATTTAAATTTGTTGTTTTTTTAATTATTTTGTTTATATTTGTTAATAAAAATGTCTTCAAGTGAAGATGCCGAAGATTTATTACTAGCTTGTGCATGTGCTATTACTACGAAATTATTGGTAAAAAAAAAAACAAAGAAAAAAACGTCGTTGGTGGATGCGATCGCTGTATCGGAACAGAGAATTATATAGTGGTAGTATGTTACTTAATGATTTAAAAAATGAAGACGGAGACCATTTCAAGAACTGCTGTAGAATGACTCCTGAAACGTTCAGAAATTTACTCAATTTAATTGAACCCAAAATCAGAAAAGAAGATACACAGTTTAGGTTATCTATATCAGCAAATGAAAGACTAGCTTTAACTCTCAGATACTTAGCCACGGGTGATTCTTTTGCAAGCTTATCGTTACTCTTTAAAGTATCAAAATCATCCATTTCGTCTATAATTCCGGAAGTATGCACTGCAATAATTGAGGAACTACAAGATTATATAAAGGTAAATATTGTTTGTTATATATGTCTAGCTTATAAGTAGGTATATAAGCAGATAATCTAGTAGGTATATGATATTTATATATGAGTACATGACATACAGTTAATAAAGTATGATATTGTATTATGAAGTAACCAAATTAATTTTATTCTTTAAAATTATTGTTATTAAAATATACATATTAATAATAAATAAATTTTAATTATAAACATTTTGTAATTACAAATCAGAAAAGTTGTTAGGAATATACTGTGACTGTGGCGACTGAGGCGGAACAGAGGACATAGAATGAAGAGATGGCGAAGACGATGACGAAAAGTATGTGTCCGGTGACTGTGGTTGAGTTGAAAATGTAGAATGGTGAGCTGTTGAAGGTGTTAAAGTAGAATACGGTAACTGCATAGAAGGCGAAGATGTTGAAGTATCGTATGTTCTTATTGACTGTGGTGGTATAGAATAAATCGACTGAAAATCTGGCAAAGATGCAGCAATTTGTGATGTTGAAGTATCTTGAGACTGATTAGTTTGGTGTTGGAATTTGAAGCTTAATTCAGCGTTGAATATTAAAGAACTTATTTGATGTTGTAATATTGTTTTCGTTCGATCATCGAACTGCTCTAATTTGCTAGCAATAAATTCTCCAAATATGGTAGAATCATTTTTTTGTTTTTTTGCTTGCCTTTTATCAGAAATATCTTGCATAATATTTTGTAAATTTTGAATAACTTTATCACTGTCAGTTGTTTTTTTACGTTTGTTTGGTAGTTTTTTGGGAGAAACAAATGGTTTTCTTTGCTCTCGAGGTTGTTCTGCTTCCCTTGATGTTTCCCCCAACAATTCGTCTATAATATTTTCATTGACATTTATAATAGAATCTTCTAATAATTGACTATTATCTGGCTGTAAGTAAAATATTTATAAAAATAATTAATTAATTACTTCAAAAATTTAAATTAACTTTTTAAATACACTAAATTTTTTTTTATGTTTAAAAATATAAACACCTAATGTATAGTGTTGTAGTATACGCCGATCAAATCTAATGTACAGACACAAAAACACAAAATAAGTTAATACTTGAATTAATATGAATCTCTTCCTACAGTCGTCGATCCACACGACGACCGCAGAAGAGCCCTTGTTATTTACCTTAGCTCTTCTTTTTATACATAATTTTCCTACTTAACATAAACAATTTGTTCTACTTAAAACTACTTACTAGAGTCTAGTCAGGGGTCGGCAACCTTTTTAGTTGGAAGAGCCAAAAGTTACAATATACAAAATTTTCAAAACTTTAAAGAGCCACTAAAAATTGTCGTAATTTTTTAAATATTATTTAATTTTTAATTTTAATAACCATAATAATAAAATAATACAGTTATTAAATAATAGAGAGTTACATCAATATGAGCATTGGCTTTGCATGTATTTTTAAAGTTTTGTTAAATTTTTGGGTGTGGAACTGGAGAGCCGCAACTTAAGATTAAAAGAGCCACATGTGGCTCGCGAGCCGCAGGTTGCCGACGGTCGACCCCTGTATTAGACTAAAAAATATATTATTTATATTTCTTATGATATTGACATTGCTTAATTGATTTGAAATGTACTAGGTTACATAAACATACATTAGTTATTGTTAGAGAAAAATGACCGGCTTAGAATACAAATTAATTATTAAACATATTATTGCCTAATACTACAGTATGGTCAGTATGTAGGTACCTACATTAAACAATATATAATATAATATACTTATTTTAATATGTATTTATGTATAATTTTTAAGTAAAATCCTATTTAAATATTGTTGTTAATGCATAGTATGAACTATAAAGTACCTATAATAATGGTAGTATATATTAATACTTTTCATTTTATAAATTTTGTTATATTATATTAATAATTTTTAACAATATTTTATGACAAATACTTATGTTTAAGTATAGTTATAAATTTTATTTATTTATTTTAAACTATTTTAGATACCAACAACTCAAGAAGATTGGTTAAATGTTGCTAGAAAATACGAAACAACTTGGAACTTTCCTCATTGCCTTGGTGCAATTGATGGAAAACATGTGCAATTGCAAGCACCCATTGGAAGTGGTAGTGATTACATTAATTATAAGTCAACGTTTAGTATTGTTCTTATGGCAATAGTTGATGCTGATTATAATTTTTTGTACGCAAATATCGGTTGCCAAGGCAGAATTTCAGATTCTGGAGTTCTTCGGAATACGTCGTTTTTTAAAAAACTCGAAAGAAATGAATTGGAACTTCCACCAGCAAACAGTTTAAATGGAAGAAAAAAAACAGTACCATATGTATTTGTAGCTGACGAAGCTTTTCCCTTAATGGAAAATATACTCAAACCCTATCGCGGAACTCATGAAAAAGGATCAACCAAAAGAACATTTAACTATCGATTGTCTCGAGCCCGAAGAGTTGTGGAAAATGTTTTTGGCATTTTATCAGCAGTATTTAGAGTGCTTCGAAAACCAATGTTGCTTGAACCAAACAAAGCAGAGATTGTAATAACGGCATGTGTATACTTGCATAATTATTTACGTAAAAATAAATCATCGAGGGATGCATATTCGCCGCCAGATTTTTTCGATCGTGAAGTTGAAGGACGTAATGTTGTTGGAACGTGGAGACAAGACACCAACAATACTTTACGTACATTAGAAAGAGTGGGAAGAAGAGCTACACGATTAGCAGAAGAAAATAGAGATGAGTTTGCAGAGTATTTTTGTGGAAATGGTGCAGTACCGTGGCAAACAGAATTAGCATAACATTTATTTTTTAGTAAATTATGTCAAGTAAGGTTAACTTTATATATAGGTACAAATTATGTTTAGTAGGTTATTTTCTAATTACAGTGACATTATATCTATCAAAACCAAGACGTATGCACATGATCCACTTTATATTTAGTCATGTGTAATGTGTATGTTGTATTATCAAACTGTGTATATTATATAAAAATGTTGTAATATACTTCGTAGTATTCAAACTAGAAACCAGAAAAGAATTGTTTCTTTTATTTTTAGCACAGTTTATATGTCATGAAAATGGGAAACCAAAAACATTGCTATAAAAATAAACGTTATTATAAAATGTTTATTAATACGTTTATGGAATACATATTTTTGACAAATACTTTTTTGATATGGTCATAACTTTTCTCGATATTGCTGCCAGTAGGTTTAAAAAAAATAATTATACAATACACATTTATAACTTAATAGTTGAAAGTACTTACATCAATGGTATCTTTAGTTTCTCGTGGCGAAAATTTGTCGTTCAAAAACTGCATTGCTTTAAAAGCAAACCACTTTGAATGAAACACTTCATCAGCTCCAGCGCCAGAACGTTTTGTGTTTACTTCAAGGCGACGTTCCCTTCTATATGACGCTTGTAAACTTTCCATCTTCCTCTTAACTTCGTTTACACTTTTCTTCATTTCCTTACTTATTTCACACCAATAATCAATTTTTCTTTTTGCCATCTTGTATTGACTATTGGTCGGATCCCATAGAATTGATCTGGCTTTATACATCTCAATGAGAAGTAGACACTCTTCATTCGTCCAATCCATTATTTATTTTTTTATAAGTATAATAAGTATTAAAAACTATTATTCAAATTGAAAAAGCTGTGGTGCGTGCGGTAATTGATCTCGAACACAACCGAATCAGAAATGACAGCCGAATATCGTTCGAACTGAACGAGCGTTTTCTTTGACCGTACCGCTATCCGAGCGAGCGTCACCGAACGCGAACGAATCGTTCGGCGCCAGTTCGCTCGCGTTCGGCAAAATGTTTACACTACTGAATTCGGTACGATTCGCTCGCGTTCGTTCGCGTTCGGACTATAATGTAAACCAGGGGTCTTCAACCTTTTTATGCAGCGGGCCACGTTAGTTACGCATTGCTATAATACATTGCACTTGAATGAGTTGAATTACGCTTGCAACGTCAAAACCAATTCATTCATAATTTATTCGACCATATTAAAGCTTTCGAAAATAAACTTATGCTGGAAATCCAGCTAAAAACAACACAACTCACTTCCCATGTATGTCAAAATACAATGTTACTCAACGGAAAATACGCAGAAGCAATTTCTGATTTAAAACACCAGTTCGAGTTGAGGTTCTCAGATTTCAAAGCTAAGAAACATATTTTAATTTGTTTTCAATTCCATTTTCATTATCAGTTGAAGATGTCCCGAAACATGCAAATGGAGATCATTGATTTACAAACAATAAGTATTAAAAGAAAAGTACAATAATGTTGAACTTTCAATTTTTATTCGAAATATATTGACAGAGACATATCCTACTCTTCGAAACAACGCATTAAGAATGATGTCTCTTTAAGGTGTACTTACACTTTGTGAACATATTTTTCACAATGAACAAGCAACCGAAACAGGAGCTCGGTACTGACAGTCACTTGAAAGTCACTCGAATTGCCCTGTCGCAGATCCAACTAAATATTTAAATCAGATTAGTAAACATATCATATCGGATAATTATAAATTTATATTAACTAAAAAGATGTTATCACATATTATGTTTAATAATAATAGTATAATAATTGTAATTTAAAATGTAAGTCAGAAATGTTAATAATAAAACTGAATTTTGTATAAATATAATGTTTTATTACGAATGCGGCCCGCAAGATTAT